GACTCAGTGAATCCGCATTTTTACATAAACAATAGGGCAGAGGAAGCAACTGGGTATGCATTTATCTCAGGTGAGCAGAGGAATGACCTTGATTCTGTCTGTCCTTTGTCCCACACTTGTGAAGATAAGCTATCAGTTTACGTTGCCAGGATGAAATGCAACAGAACTGGTTTAGGGCAAAGATCTTGAGGCCCACAAGGAATTTCCTCGCAGGTAAATTGTGACGGAGGTATATAGTTTTTTAAAAAAATCTTTGCAGCTATCTTATTTAGGATTAAAATAGGAGGCAGGTTTGCCTGACGCAGTTCCCAGCTTGACTTTTGCCTTTCACTTAGTGATTTGGGGGTCTTGACATGTATTTTCTTTTCACAAGCACTTATTACATACATGAATAAACATCCCAGCCCTCCAGAGCTTATAGTCTAGCACAGGGAGGTAGAACATATATGATAATCATGTGAATAAGCAATTGAAACCATCCTGGCTTACACGGTGAAACCCCGTCTCTATTAAAATATACAAAAAATTAGCCAGGTGTGGTGGCGGGTGCCTATAGTCTCAGCTACTCGGGAGGCTGAGGCAGGAGAATGACGTGAACCTGGGAGGCAGAGCTTGCAGTGAGCCAAGATTGTGCCACTGCAATCCAGCCTGGGCAACAGAGCAAGATTCCATTTCAAAAAAAAAAAAAAAGAAAGAAAATTATCCCTGTGGGTAGCTGGAGGCACAGCGATCCAGGCAGGACCAGCCAGTGCATGGACTCTAAGGGGAGAGCAACTTGGATGCTCTAGGGCCAGCAAGGAGTCCTGTGGCTGGAGTGGAGGCAGGAGGGGAATAAAAGGGATGAGGTCAGAGATATAAGGGTGGGCAGAGGCCATGAAGGGCCTAAGGGGCCACTGTAAGGGTTTGGCTTTCTCTCCAAATCAAGTAAGATCAAGCAGGGAGCCACTGGAGGACTTTAAAAGTGAGCTGACTTAATGCGACTTGTGTTTCACAAGATCTCTCTGACTGCTGAGTTGAGACGGACTGTAGGGTGTGGAATCCTGAGAAGGTAAGGAAGCAACAATGAGGAAGGTGCCCCAGGTGAGGGAGAATAATCTGTGGGTATAATGACATTATTTGGCAGGCACAATGACCTTATTCCACACATAGTCCCCTTCAACAGGACCCTAAAAAACTTCCCTCCAGCCCCTGCATCTTTGCAGATAGTCCTTTCTCTGCTGTGCTGCCCACTGCCGCCTTGAAAAAATTTTCATAATTTCTCTAATAAATCTTCCTTTTTGTACCTACAACTGTCTTGATAAATTCCTTTACCACCCGCAAAGTCAGCCCCAGCCAGTTACACCCATGACATAGGGTGCAAGAGTGGAAATCCAGAGACCAGTCCGGAGGTGACTGCAATAATTCTAGGGAGAGATAATGATAGCTTCACAGAGGAAGTGAGAAAGGTTTAGATGCCAGATGTGGCTTAAATGTCGCTCCAATCAGGCTTCTTAACTTAGTGAGTCTGTGGAGTGAGAGAAAGTGAAGAGTTAAGGATGACTACCAGGTTCTGGCCTGAGCTCCTGGAAGGACTGAGTTGCCCATTACTGAGAGGGAGAAGAATACTGGTGAGCAGGTATTTGGAGGAAGATGAGGAGTCCAGTTTGGGACATGTTAAGTTTGTTGGTATCTACTAAAGTAGGCCAGGTGAGCCTGGGATTCAGGGAACAGGCTTGGCTGAAGGTATACAGTTAGAAGTCTTTCGTACACACGCGGTAGTTAAAACCTTGAACCTGGATGAACCCACTGAGGAAATGTGTGCACACACAGAGGAGGATGAAGGACAGGGCCCTGTGGACTCCAATGTCAGGAGTCACAAAGAAGATGAGAATGAGAAGGAGCAGCCAGTGAAAAAGGACAAAGAAAGCCAAAGTGGTGCTGTCCCACAAGCCAAGGAAAGGAAATGCTTCAAGGGGGAAGCAAAGATTGGCTGCATCAAATATTGCCGGTGGCTGAAGTAGGAGCGCGGCTGAAAATCAACCCTTGGGTTTAGCAATGTGGAGTCACTAGTGACCTGGACAAGAACTCTTGATGTGGAGTAATGAGCATGAAAGACTTAGTTCGAGTCTCTTTAAGAGAAAACAGGAGGAGAAGAACTGGAGACAGTGAATATATCAACATGAGAATTTTTGCTGCAAAGTACTACAGAGAAAAGAGGGGGTGGAAGGCAGAGGAGGTGGAGTCAAAGGAAGTGAAAAACTATTATTTTTTATGATGGGACAAATAACAGCCTATGTGGATGCCAATGAGAATGATGCAATAGAGTGGGAAAAACTAACACGACAGGAGAGGAAAGGAAGTGCTCTTAAAACAACATCTTTAAGTAGTTGAAAGAGGGTAAGACCTAGCCACTTTAGGTAATTGAAGGGTTGGAATTCGTGGTAGTCTACTAGGCTGCCGTAACAAAGTACCACAAACTGAGTGGTTTAGACGACATAAATCCATTATCTTACAGTTCTGGAGGCTGGGAGTCCAAGATGAGGGTGTCAGCAGGGTTGGTTTTTGTGAGAGCTGTGAGGCAGAATCTGTTCCGTGCTGCTCCCCTGGCTTCTAGTGTTTGCTGGCGTGTTGGTGTTCCTTAGTTCGTAGGCGCATCACGCTGATCTCAGCCTTCATCTTAATACGGCCTTCTCCCCGTGTGTGTATCTGTGAATAGACTTTTCCTCTTTTTAAGGATCAGTCATATTGAATTAGGGGCCCACCCTCCTCCAGTATGACTCCATCTTAACTAATCACATCTGCAATGATCTCATTTCCAAATAAAGTCACATCCTGAGGCACTGGGGATGAAGACTTTTAACGTATGAATTTTTGGAATACACAATACAACCCACAACAGCTTTAGAGAGGAGATGGAAAATTTGTCTTTAGTAATAAAAGGGAAGGCAGAGGATTCGTTTGAACATGCTGGCAGTTTTATGGATATATTTGCGACAGTCCATAGAAATGCTCGTCTAATTGTTTCCATTGCCTCAGAGATGTGGAAAGCAAGGTCACTTGCCGCAGGTGTGGGCAATGGCAGATTAAGGAGGGGGGAAGGTGCAAAATTGTTTCTAGCAGGTGGGAGAGTGGGGAGAGTAAGAAAACACAATATGGTAGCCAGGTAACCTTAAGGGCACACCTGTGGTCCTGGGTTCTATATTTAAAGCAGGGCAGTTTGTGTGGTTGTGGGTTTTTCTGAAGCTCCTCTCAGTTGCATGGTAGCAGGCAGACAGTTGAAAAGGAGGGGTTGATTAACCAGGGTTGTGGTTTTGCAAAGCGAGTACAGCACACAGAAGAGAAGGAGAGGCAAGGGAGTCGAGAGTAAGTATAAGGAAGTTGTAGTGATAGACCCTGAAGAAAAAGTTGGATAAGAGGGAAGAAAAGACCCTATGTGGAGATACTATAATTACACTGATTTTACAGGCGTGGAAAGTGATGCACAGAGAAGTTAAGTACTTTTTGAGGTTTGATCAGTGGCAGAGCCAGAATCCAAACCCAGGCAGTGTGACTCAAAGCATATAGCTCCCTATGAGAGACACAGGATCAGAAAGGCTGGAGGATGGAGGCAGGAAAGACAGGGTATCAGATTAGAGTTACAAAACCGATTCCTTCTGCTGACTCTCCACGTAACCCTAAGGAAGACATTCCTGTTCCCTGTAATATGATATTCCATGACTGCAACGATTTCCCTCTCATCTTTGGAGAAGGATCATTTTAATTTGACCAACCTCCCGTCCTCCCTTCCTTTCTTTCTTTAAGTGTACACAATGTTTCACTATTCACAAAATCTTTTATATTCATTTTCACACTGTGTCCACAGTCACCTATGAAAGCAGTTATTATTATTTCTACTTTCAAGATAATACAATGTGGCTTGGGATAGTGAAGAGATGAACACAAAAGCAGGTTAATAGCAGACCGAGACTTCAAGTCTAAATCTTTAACTTTAAATTCAATTCTCTTTCCATTTCCTAAAATGCTTTCTTCTAAAAATAGTGTTTTCCTGAGATTGAAATAGGTGAATTGGAGAGCAGGTGTGTCCCTGACAGTGGAGGAGTCTGTACTAGATTAGCGCTCTTCTGAGGTGCTGCAGAATAAATAAATGCAAGCAGTGATTGTGGTGTGAGAGTGAATGACTGCTCACATGCTTTCCACCCCGACTCTAGGATATGTCAGGGAATAAATGTCTATGTTAACAGAAGAAAGCCTTGATTAGAATGTTTATATCACGTTTAGTATGGCACGTGAATTCGTCTTGTTTGTTCTTGGGGCTATTTTCCGTGTAAACAAAAATGCTTCCAAAATATTTGGTAAGCCTCCTTAGTAAAGTGTAGTCATTTGAACATTTATTCATTAATTCATCAAGCTTTATTCATCCCTTGCTATGTGCCTGGAATTGTGCTAGCTGTTGTGTCTTTGTCTTTAGGAAGTTCAGTTAAGATAGACCTATAAATAAACATTCACCCTATACATGCTGTAGGAGAAATAAGCACTAAGTATTAAGGAACACAGAGCTGGGACTGAGCCCCTGCCTGGGCAGAGGAAGGAGGACTTCAAGTTGGAGGTGACATTGAAGCTTCTGGGTAGTGCAGGGGAACAATTGCACAGCCACCACAGCTCTCCCGAGACTGGTCTTGGCATGGCCTCACACCTGGAATGACAAAGCCCCTACCACACTCATACTTTAAGACAAACAAAGAGCAGAATGATTCTTTCAGCTCTGAGAGGCCATGAGATTCAAAAGACAGACACTGTGACCAACACGATTAGGGACAGGAAAGAGGGCATGAGCAGACAGAATTGAGGTTTCATTTGGGCTTCCTGAGTAAGACAGTAATTTTCTCTTCAGGGTCTATTGCTACAATTTCCTTGTACTTACTTCCAAATCCCTTACCTCTCCTTCTCTTCTGTGTGCTGTACTTGCTTTGCAAAACCACAACCCTGGCTTGTTGTCAATCTTATGTTTCTCCCACCAATAGGAAACACAAAGTCTTCCTGATTCAGAGGGAAGGACCGAGGACTGGCATGGAGACGACTTGACAAATGACCTACTCATGGCTAGCTAGATTCCGGGCCCACCACTTCTCCTTCCTGAGCCACAGCTTATACATTATGGAGCTGATCTGGTCTCTGGTAATGAGTTTATGGATGACTTTTTCTTTGTATTGTTTTATCTTTACTTTCCATATTTGCTGCAATGAAAATGTTTTAATTAACTTTGAAATATTAATGTGTTAATTAACCTCAAAAAAGTGAAAATATAGGGATTGAAGTAAATGGCTTCTAAGACCCATTCTAACTTAAAATCTGATTTTAAAGAGAGAAGCAGTAGAGATAGAGGGAAAATGAGGAGAGCGTATGACTTTTGATGACTATAATACATTCTTTGAATGTCTTTTCATATTGGCTCTAATTTATTAAGCTTCAGGTCTTGTGGAAAACACTTAACATATTCAAGTTAACTATGCACACGTAACCAGTAGGGTCTGGCCTTTTAAACACATATATTCACCCTAGAATAAGGAAAGGCAACATAGTGAAATGTTTAAAGGTTCTTTTTTTTTTTTGTCTTTGGATTATGTTTGGATGCATGTATTTCCCAAGTGTCTCTGAGCCCAGTACTAATAAAATTCAAAGAGAGGCCCACTTCCTCTACATGTGAGCATTGGCAAACTACTTCCCCAGACCTGGAGGGTCTCAAGACCCACTAGTAGCGCTGTCAGTCTTCGCCTTGAATTCCCTTCACAGAGCCAAGTAGCAAGCCGGATGAACGAGTGCAACAGGACAGTGCCTCCTAGTGCTGGGGCCCCAGAGGCAGGGGCTGGAACCCCACCACCCCCATACCTAATTCTGGGCACAGCCACAACTCATTGACTAGAGCACATCCCATTCCTCCACCACAGGACTAGAGTCAGATTTTGGTAAAGAAAGAGCACTCTCAGATGGCCTAAAGCAATCTCTAATACAAAGTTGAATATGTCACCAAGAATTACTAAGTATTTAAGAAAACAAATATTGAGAAAGAAAGGAATAAAACTTAACAGAAAATAGCACCTTAGGAAAGAGAAAATTCAGTAAATAAAATGTAAAAACTATAATTAACATTTACATTTATAAAATAAGAACAAGCTGTTATAAAAAAGTACCAATTAAAGATCTTAGAAATGAAAAAAAAAAAGCTAGTTGAGAAGAAAAAGTCAATAAATGGGCTGCAAAGACTCATTGGATATACATGAAGAGAAAGGTTGTGTGCAGCAAGACTGAATGGAGTGATTCTGCCAGTACTTAAAACAGAAGGACCGGCCGGGCGTGGTGGCTCATGCCTGTAATCCCAGCACTTTGGGAGGCCAAGGGGGGGCCGATCGCCTGAGGTCAGAAGTTCAAGACCAGCCTGACCAACATGGTGAAACCCTGTCTCTACTAAAAATAAAAAAATTAGCCGGGCATGGTGGCGCGCGCCTGTAATCCCAGCTACTTAGCAAACCCAGCTTCGCACATTGCCCACTGGCTCCCACTGGGGGAGTTTTAAAATTTGTTGATCTTGGGGTCCACCCTAGATGATTTTTTTTTTTTTTTTTCCTGAGAGACAGGGCATTGCTTTGTTACCACGACTGGCGTGCCATGGCACGATTATGGCTCACTGCAACTTTGAACTCCTCGGGCTCAAGCAATCTCCTGCCTCAGCCTCCCGAGTAGCTGAACTACAAGCACACACCACCCATGCCTGGATACTTTATTTTTGTGTTTTTGTAGAGACAGGGGGTCTCACTATG